GAAGTGTGGGTGCCTTACAGTACGTAATCATTGTAAATTTAGTCTGTCCATCTCGGAATACAATAGCCTCTAATTAAACTGAAATTCACATAATGATTCTCTGTGAGAAGTATGTTTTTTGTAAAATGAGAGTTTAGAAAATAAGGGTTACTCTTAGTAAAACCAGAGGGAGATATACTGTAAAAAATACACTGTATTTCCGTTTCTGACCCACTAGTGTTCATTTTGGTGGTCAAAGGTATTAAGTCGACATCTTTCGTAAATGCCATTTTACCAGTATCTCCAAATCCAAGATAGCTGCTGGTTAAGTCAAAGTCGGTGATACTGTGACCTATGGAAACCGGTGCTTTGGGAGGGTTTCGGCCACGTTGTGGAACAGCTTACCATCTGCGTTTTAGGCTCTTTGCACAGACTTCATGTACATACCACCCTTTATTTATTCATTTATGTGCATTATACAAGATGACCATTGGTTGCCATACTGATCAAATTTTAGATCCATCTAAAAATCACACCTGAGTAGGCAACAAATACATACTGTAGTATTTGTATGAAATGTCATGGAAAACAAAGTACTCCTTTAAGAATGATCACACAAAACCAGTTAATGGCAACTGGCAGCCATATTGAATTTCAGATTCAGGATAAGATCAATCTTGTGTGGGTAAATGGTACTATCAGTATTTGAAGGAGTTTTCAGGAAAATTTAAGGATTCCTTTAAGAGTTATCGCACAGAAACCCTTTGTGCATGACACTGATGGAGTGATCCCTACATGTCACCCTTACTTAATGAATACTGTTTCAGTGGGGCATTGAGATGATAATCTTCTTGCTAAATTTATAATGGTGATTGTTAGCCGTTATTGTTTAATAATCATAACTAATACTATTATCCATAGGTTGTAAACTGCTTTAGAGTAATTTCTCAAATTATACAGGGCGCTATATAAATGTTGTATATTATTATTATTATATTAAAAATGGAATGGGCGACATACTGTCAAGACTAAATTAATTTGTCAATTTTTTATGGTACCGGTAATTGGTACTTGGTAGCCGAGACATACACAGCAATAACTTTTGTTCTATTCATTGATGTATGGTACTTGTGGACAGTGTATATGGTAAAGAAGGACATAATATTTGGAACTTACAATTCAAGATGGCCACCAGTTCCTGATTGACTGTCTATATTTTCTGCTCTGTTGGTCCAATATTGTTCATACTTTGTGGTAAATATAGTACTTGCTAAATCACGTGTGTGTAATGCCATTTTTTAAAATTCAAAATGGCTGCTTTAGTTTCTGCTTGGCATTCATAAGCTCCTCCGTCTACAGGTGTAGTAACATTTACAGACATAAGCTCCCCCGTCTACACTCTACAGGTGTAGTAACATTTACAGACATAATCTCCCCCGTCTACCCTCTACAGGTGTAGTAACATTTACAGACATAAGCTACCCCGTCTACACTCTACAGGTGTAGTAACATTTACAGACATGAGATCCCCCTTCTACACTCTACAGGTGTAGTAACATTTACAGACATAAGTTTCCCCGTCTACCCTCTACAGGTGTAGTAACATTTACAGACATAAGTTTCCCCGTCTACCCTCTACAGGTGTAGTAACATTTACAGACATAAGCCCCCCCGTCTACACTCTACAGGTGTAGTAACATTTACAGACATAAGATCCCCCTTCTACACTCTACAGGTGCAGTAACATTTACAGACAACAAACACTTAGACTTATATATTACTTTTGATCTTTATTAGATATTTATCAGGGTATGTTTGTTTGATGTATGTCATGATTGTTAGTGGTATATGTGAATGTTAACAAAATAATAAGCATATATATCTGTACATTGACAATGACCTTCTTCCCATATTTAAAATCCTACACAGACACAGTCCAAATCAGCGTACAATTCAGTATTCATTCTATTCTCAGTTAAATAGGGCAAGTATACCAATACCGTCAATCTCACGATGAAAACATTTAACAACTGTATATATATATATATATTCTACGTAATCCTATGATAATGGTAATATATATATATAAGGTACATATATCCTATTCAGCATAAGCGTTAATATATTCTGTTAGTAGTTAATGCATAACAGTTTCCCTGAACTTAAAAAAAATATTTCAAACAAACTGTTTCCTTGATAGTCAAACAAAATGGAAGTATTTTTTCATATACAATATGTATAAGAAAGCAAAGTTGGCATGGCAATAATGAAAAGGCCCTGTGTTGTAAAAAATGAATATCTTTAACATAGTTTACAAATCACCCAACATAAAAAATACTTATTACTAAAAATTCAAAGCAAAATTGAAAACTTTCGTAGGTAATATTTAAAAAATATATACAGGGGTAATCAAGTTTTTTCCTATAACAAGACTTAGCAAAACCAAATGCATCTTGCACCGGACATACCCAGCAAAGAAAAAGTCTCCAAAGGTGGCCAGTAATTAATAAGCAGTGAAAATCTGAACGAGATTTTTAACTTATGAAGTTTCAACAGAACGCTAGTCTACAAACACAAATGTTCTTCCTGTGTTGTTACATAACATCTGTCTAATCAGCCCAAACTGTTAACTGGGTATTAACTTTCAACAAAAACGTATGTTGTCGTTCCGTCAGGAAAACATTCTGTAATAAATGTATTGTGAAATGTTCTATTTTAAAATTCTGAATAAAATACAAGTAGATTTAAAAGGTAATGTAAAACAAGTGTTTTCTCATGGCATATAAAAATACCTGTAACGTGACGATTTCAAATATACATAAAGCGTTAAACACTATCTACCATTCACAATGTCTCAAAATGTTTTCCCTTACCAAATACAGTCCTGTTGAACTATTTCAGTTAGAGAAAATTGTGCACAGGAAAATTACGGGACAAAATACAGCTAGCTGTTGCCAATATAAGGTTCACACTAAATACCCCTGGAGTAAGATGGGGGTCAGAATAGCATTCTGGTCCAGGTTGTGATAAACATTTTAAAACAAAGGTGGTCAGGTTTAAATCTACAAGTACCTAATTTCGAGAGATTCCAGGATATAGAACAAAACTATCTTCTTTGACATAAATATTTTGATTCTCCTCAAGTTATATACTTTTATATATGAATAAGTTTCTTTGGTTATTAGTTTATTGAATAAACATTATATGGCTTCATATATTAAAATGTTTAAAGTAAAATCATAATTCTAACTACACTTGTACCATTAAAATGTACATTAAAAGGAACTTGTACTTTGTGGAAACTTCTTCCTGTGATACTTTTGTAATAGATTCATTTACAATAGCACTTCAGGGATTAAACCTTTGTGATCAATTAACAAATGTGTCATGAGAGTTTAATTGCTGTATCAGTAACATATTCCATTAAAAAGGGTTGGAAAACAAAGACAATTTGTGATAAATAGCTTTGTGCCTATTAACATCGTGGACATTATAGGCTACCAGTATAAACTCCTTTACAGGTACCCAACTTGTTTACAGGTACCCAACTTCCTTACAGGTACCCAACTTGTTAACAGGTACCCAACTTGTTTACAGGTAGCAGGTGTCTGTATTAAGATTTCAGCGTGTACATTAAAACATTTATTGATAAATATTGTGTAGATTAAAATGGTGCAAGTCTCAAATTTGGTTAAACAATTTTGAGAAAGGTTTTGATAATATTTTCTTTTGGCAAGACTTGAAAAACTATGTAGTAATACAACTAGAAATAAGCTTAAAAAAGTGCCACGTGTACCAATACCTATTATCACAGTCTAATGAAGGTCACTAATTCTTAGCTTAAATCTTATCTACACATTGCTGCAACAGTCACAAAACTGAGAACTAGACTAAATCTTATTATCTGGAAGCATCATGGAATTAAAATCACACAAAAAATTTAAGATAACATATTTGGAAATTAACTGTAAAACATAGGTCATATTTAGATTTGGCAGTTTTGGTTCAACAGAAGAGAAAACAGCATCACAATGATACCCTTAAGATTTGTAGCTTCAAACAAAGCATTAAAAGATGGACAAAGGCAACATAAACATCAGGATTTTATATTTATAAGAACAAGATAAAACATAAAAATTAAACAAAACTATTATCAAACAGTGTCTACAAGAATCAAAATATTTTTTTCACAGTATGTTTCTAGTAAACATGTAAGATAACACTAGAGTTTAACACAGCCTGACAACACTGAATCATTGATGTCTGTGAAGACGATAAAAAAACTGATAAATGACACTTGTATGCTAAACGATAAAAATACAAAAAGCAGCAGTCATGATAAAATTTACTTGAATTCAATTTCAAGAAAATAAAAAAATATTAAAGGCTACCTGCAAGTTACTCCAGTCATAAGATTGGACAAGTTGACAATACATGTGTTTATAACAATCAGCTTTCACATTTCTTAATATATATATATATATCTATTCTTTATAATATCATTGTTGTAAAAGTTATTTGAAAGTATATAACACATGAATATTTAAATGATAATATACCCTATCTATCTAGTCTTTATCTGCCCTATTGCATAGAAATGAGGCATTGTTGTGTTCTATTAAAATATTATCCATTGCTTTTTAAAATTTTGCCCAAAAATACAAGATTTCAAGCAAGTAAATAGTAAACTTGACTGAAAGACATCCTTTGAAATATCTGGGATGAAAGATGTTCACTTTCTATCTAAAAAAAAATAGTTCAAACTTCATGGAATATAGCTCTGTTTGCAAAATACTTTCATACCGAATCCTGAAGTGAAAGACATATAGTTTTGATATTAAACAAACGCTTTGTGATGAATATCACATCAAACACCCTTACATTGGACTCAGTAAATTCTACAGGTCGTATACAAACACCATTACATTGGACTCAGAAAATTCTACAGGTAGTATACAAACACCCTAGACATATAGTTTTGATGTTAAACAAACGCTTTGCGATGAATATCACATCAAACACCCTTACATCGGACTGAGTAAATTCTACAGCTCGTATACAAACACCCGTACATTGGACTGAGTAAGTTCTACAGGTCGTATCCAAACACCCTTACATTGGACTCTGTAAATTCTACAGGTAGTATACAAACACCCTTCCATTGGACTCAGTAAATTCTACAGGTCGTAAACAAACACCCTTACATTGGCCTCAGTAAATTCTACAGGACGTATACAAACACCCGTACATTGGACTGAGTAAGTTCTACAGGTCGTATACAAACTCCCTTACATTGGACTGAGTAAATTCTACAGCACGTATACAAACACCCTTCCATTGGACTCAGTAAATTCTCCAGGTCGTATACAAACCCCCTTACATTGGACTCAGAAAATTCTACAGGTAGTATACAAACACCCTTACATTGGACTCAGTAAATTCGTATACATCAAACAGATTCATATAGAAACATATCAACAACAATGTACATGCTCTAATTGAACAATGTTTGTGCACGAGGGTTACACATTGTAGTTCTCCATGTTACAGGTTTTAACATTGCAGGTTTCCGTAGCAACGACGTGGTTGAGTGGTTGTGTAGATTCTGTGGTGTTACTTGGAGGCTTTCATAGCTTTGGCAGACTTGAAGCTGGAGGATTTGCCGAGACTACTCGACGAGGGCAGTCTGCCCCCGAACACAAAGGGAATGGTTGGACTACTTTTGGATCTCTTCAGGTCTGCAAGGAGGAGATGTAAACAGATTAGTAATGGTGTAACGTGATTGAGAAATGATATTTTATAGGGATTAAATCCTCAGTTCTGGTCTTCAGGTGGCCATCCCATGGTGTCTGAGGCAGGACTGCAGTGATAATAGTACTTGTAGTTATATTGACTACATGTAGAATGGTCAAATTGTATTCTCCTAGACTGATACTGGAAACATTTGGTGAACACAGATTTTCCTATTCGGAGTCACTGAAATAAGGTTGCACATGTCCGACAGTAGATTGATGCGACAACTAAACCTGTTACCAGTGATAACTATCACAAATTGACTACATACTTTTCCGATTTTGTTAAATGTTAAAGCAAATAAAAGTAATAACTTCGCCAATTATGAATCCCTTTAAATAGTTTTAGTTTTCATTGTAATTGAAAACATATTGCCAATGTATTGTATGATAGTCTAGATTCAAACATACCACGTGCATCTAGGTGGCGCCGTCGATGCGAGTCTCGACTGTGATGCTCGTCCTTCTTGCCAGAAGTCTGTGGACTGGGACTCCTCGCACGATGGTGGAAGGACGGTGCTGTGATCAGACAGTAAAATACATTTAGGAAATTAAAATATATATATACCGAGACGAATATACTTTCACAGTCTACATCATCACTATCAGCAACAGCATACAAAGTTCTGATTGGAGGTTGTAATAGAGAAAGTACATGTGTGGACTTGGTCTGACTTACTTCGGCGGAGGGAGCGGTTAGTAGGCCGGGAGTCATGGTCCTGCTCTTCCTGTTTCTTGCTCTTCTGCTTGGCCTCCAGTTCCTGCACCTTCTTGTACATCTGTAAGTACTGGGTCATGCTATTTCTCTGCTCCTGTAAGTCACAAACAAACTCAGTCTAATACATAATCTTTCATACAAGAAATATTATTTGTTTCTGTAAACATTTTTTAAAACAGAGGATAATTTTTAAACATCTGCATTTTAACAACTAAGTAACATCACATATAATTTGATCAGCTAACCAGCATGGCAACACTGACAATAAGAATAGATCATGAGAAGAAAGCTGAACAGCAAATTTGTATTACAAGATTTCATGTGTATAGATCAATAGAATCTTTTCCTGTGGTATAGATACGGTTAAAGTAACAATCCACAAAAAGTTTACCTCTGTCACTCTTTCCAGATTGTTCTCCAGATTCTTCACCTGTGACCTGAGTTTTTGTAATTCAGCATCCTTCATTCGTACCATAATCTGAAATATAGCATGTACACTTGTAAAATTACCACCATCAGTAACAATTAATAAGGCACACTTATAACAACTAATTGTATTGTAATCAATAATTTTCCAAATTCACTTGTACGCCGTAATATTGTAGGAATATAGTCATGTTTAGGATTCTGATGAACATTAATTAATGCAGTGTTTCCTAGGGTCCAGGGTATTTGGCTGATGACAGTCTCCTAAATGATTATTTTTAAATGACAACTTACCTGGGCATCATATAGCTCTTCCTCCAATGTGGCGTTACCTGGGATACGTCCCATCGACCTGTTCTCCATAAAATCTTTCAGTTTGCCAATCTCCTCATTCACAAGCTCATTCAAGTGCTGATTACTGAAAAGTAGAAAATAATACATGATTTAAAACAGGGTTTAAGTTCAGAATACATACAGCTACTTCAGTAATATCTCTGGTAACAAGACATGTTGTCTGTCAATCACATTATCTATTTATTAACTTCAGATTCCGTTCACCAAGGTAGATAGTAGGATGTTTTTTATTTGTTTTTGGTTTGTAATGCCCATCAACAATCAAAGTCATTTAGGCCAAAACAATACTGTAAAAAAATAGACATTCAGATGGCAGCTTCAACCAACCTGTACAATGAGTAAAACATTTGATCAAGTCTAGTGTGACCTGCTTACTACTTTCTAATGGGCAGTATGTTTGACCTATGACTTACAAATTCACTTGATCAAGAGAATGCTTCATGAATTTTGCCCTGAGAACTTCTTAGCTAAGGGCTAGATGTTTAACATATGACTCACTGGTCAGTTTGACCTGTCACTTTCTTACCTCTTGACCAGATGCTGTATGTGAGACTCGTATTCCGTCTTGACATTGTTGAGTTTTTCCTCCATGATCTTGTAGTCCTCACACTTACTGTCGTAGTGCATGGTAGTAGTCTTAAGCTCCTCCTTTACCCTTACCAGCTCCTCACTGTCAAAACAACAACTCTACTGTTACTATATGTTACGATAGCTTACAGGAATTTACCAAGAGTCGCACCTACTATGATAGAGGCTCCCCACTCCAAAATGTGTCTATACATAAAAGGCTTACATGTCCACATATAAACACACAAATTTACAATGACTAGAAGATAACAACAGAATCTTCATTTATTTTATTGGTGAAATACGTACTCTTGTTGTCGACGTATTTCCTGGATGTAGTCGTCATTGTACATGGTCTTGAGAGCAATCCTGTATCTTTCCTTCTCCTCCTCAAGGTCATCCTCATAAGCCTTCCTCATTGCGTCCAGAGCTATAATAAAGAGAATGTATCAGAGGCATCTCCATATTCATTATCAACATAGCATTGACCTTGTAAACACAATATCAGCCATTTTCATGATTTACAATATCCATATCTTCAATTCAAAACTTTACTATGCCTTAGAAATGCTTATGGTCCCAACGACAATACAATGTAACTGAATTTTTTATTCCTTACCTGCTTTGGTCGTTTTGACTTCTTCTGCCAGTGCTTCTTCCTTTTCTCGTTTCAGTAGTTCTAATTCATAATCATGCTGAGATCTGTCCAGAGTATGGAATGACTAAAAACAACAAAGATTGTCTAGTTGAGATTTGTCCAAGACAGGACCAAAGGAGTATCATCTACAGGTATGATCCTTATCAGGATAACAATTAATCATCTTTACGAGTATAAATGCTTGAACTGGAGTCTCATTAATCCAGCCAGCTTTATTCCCATCGGATAAACGATGTTTGCTATAAAATGATCATTAGCAAAGTATTGAACTGAACATAACATGAAAGTTTGATAGTACTGAAACTTGTAGAGATCCAGGTGACAAGATTCTTACTGTTCCCAAACTGTATACGGGGTATATGTGCTGATAACAAACATCAACAAAAATAAGACAAATTTCAAATAAATTTTCCAACAAAGCGAAACAAGGTCAGGTCAGGTTAATTTCAACCAGGCATGCTGGGATAGCTTACATCATCAGTGAGGTTGAGTGTTTCCATGGCTGGGACATCACTGAGTGACTCAGACTTCCGTGGCGCGACAGGCAGTGGAGGGGGTGAGGACACAGGCAGAGGGGACAGGGGATCCTCAAACTCCTGTATCCAAGGAAACAAACAACATGGCCATGTCAGTCACAACCAAACACAGGGCAAGTGTATACAAGCAGTTTCGTGGTAAAAATTCAAAAACTTAAAAAATTCATAAAATCACCCACAAATCAGACAAATGACAGTGGTGCCGGGTGGACAAGTGTAACGGGTAATATTTCATGGTAAAGATGATCAGATGAATATTAAAAACACTTAATGAAATAACTGTAAAAAAACATAGCTCGTAGGAGACAAACTATTTTGTTTTATGCCAACCCAGACCATGCACAAACTCATTCTTACCGTGCCACTGTTGAGAGCCTCCTGGAGTTGATCGACAAGTTTCTGCACCTGAGTAGACAGTGTAGGACTTAAGTTGGATTCAGCCAGCTTCTCTTGAAGTTCTGTCAGCAATACCTGTAAAACAAGTTAATTGTGTAAATATCAACAAAACCTTAAATCTGTCCTACTGGCTACAAAGTCAGTGCCGGTTTGAAAACACAAAAGTATTACTAAGGTAAACAAGGTTTGAAAACCAAACAGAATTTAACATACTAAGGTACAGTATTACTGATGTGAACTAGTACATTTTAAAACCAAACAGATTTCACAAACTATGTCATAAGTTGAAGACCAAAAAGACTGAAAATGTTGAGTTTTTATGAAAGACCACTTATACTGAAATACAATCAGTGAGTTTACTTGCAATGCACCTGCTAACCTTTAAAAAGATGATCTGTCAGTTTACTTATGAATATAACAGAGTTGCTTCTCTTATGAAAGATTGTCAGTTAGTTTTTGACTTACCAGTACAGTATAATAAACCTGCTACAAGATGATCAGTTAATTTCCTTATAATGAAACTGGTTTTCTTCTGAAATATCATAGCAACTTTTACTTATACTGAAGCTGCTTCCCTTTTGAGAGATAACTAGTTACCTACTTACCAGCACAGTAACATGAAGCTGCTACAATATGAACAGTTAATTAAACTTACTTACAATGAAACTGGTTTTCTTCTGAAATATCATTGTTACTTTTAATTATACTGAAGCTGCTACCGTTTGGACTGGCAATCAGTTAGCCTATTTAAAACTGAAGCTGGTACCGTTTGGACTGGCAATCAGTTAGCCTTCTTAAAACTGAAGCTGCTACCGTTTGGACTGGCAATCAGTTAGCCTTCTTAAAACTGAAGCTGCTACCATTTGGACTGGCAATCAGTTAGCCTATTTAAAACTGAAGGCTGCTACCTTTTTGAGAGAATCAGTTAATTTACTTACACTGAAGGTACCCTTCTGAGAGATGATTTGCCGGTTGAGCCCCTTGACCTGGTCAGACAGCTGACCATCTACCTCCTCCTCGTTGGCACGGATGGCACTGACTGCAGTCATGATGTCCTGACGCACCTGCTCCAGCTCCTCCTCATGGTCGACCTGGATAGTCTCTAGTTCCTCCTGTAGACTACTGACCTTGCCTTCGTACTCCGACACCACTACCTCCCTCTCCTTCTCATAGTCATCCGTCATCTTCTCAAGGCGCATGACAATGTTGCTAACTTCCTGACGCAGGACATCCACGTGGATATCATGCCGTTCCTGCGAGACAGCTAGTTCATTTTCAAATGTAGAGATGAGGTTGTTGAGTTGTTGACTATATCCTTTTTCTTTGGAATCTGTTGACACAGAATTTAACTGTTTGATTTCCTTGTCCAGTATACTAAGCACTTCACATTCATCCTCAAATTTGGTTTCTAAAATTTCCTCAAACACTGACAAGGAAGCATGAATGTCCCCTTCAGCTTCCCGACTGGAATCTGAAGGAAGGTCAACTTTCTGACCCGCCTCGATTTTCATCTTCATCTCGCGCATACTTCTCTCATGGTGTAGTTTCATCTTGTAGGACATGTATGTAAGCTGTGCTTGGTGGAGAGCTTCCCGTAATAGATTCTCACCGTACGTCCCTACATTAATATTACACAGTTCACTATCTGGGACAATTCCTAAAATGTCTACTATCCGAGAACATTCTTCTGAACTTGCAGCATTTTCTGGATTGAATTTTTTCAATTCTGCTGCCAAGGATTGCTTGTTTGTTGCCTCATTTGAAAGAGATCGTGCCAGAACCTGCATGGTCTCATTCTGATCAGCACCGAGTACATGTTCTGATGAGAATACGGCTGTGTTAGGAAGTTCTGGAAAGCTTCCTGAGCTAACCATATCTGTAATATATTCTACTGTACCTTTGATTATAGCTCTATGCATGAGAATGTCTGCTAACTGTAACACTGTTGATTCTACGGACCCGACTGTCACGTCTGACATTGCATCCTCTGTGTCTAGTAAATCTGGCTGTTCCAGTTCTTTAAAGTTTCTAACACTTGATTCTAGTTCTACTTCCAGTGCACCTATAATGTGTTGACACCTGTTCTGTTCTCTTCCTTCTGAAGTACTTTGTTTCTCCTGGAATTCCTCTATGCGTTTGTGGAATGACTGTGACATTTTTGTACACAAATTCTCTCCAATCTTTGGGGACTGTGCCAGGCATGCGTGATATCGTAGTGAGGACACCACCAGGGCCTGGTACACATCAACTGAGTTACACATGGTCTCACACTTACATAACAATTGTTCATGTGAGAACTTGCGCTCCTGGCGCAGGAGGTCTGTTACGTCGCGCACACCGTCTTTCAAAGAGAAGCGAGATTTCATCCTTGCTAATGCATGAGTTATCTCCCCCTGCACCAATGACCTAGTGATGATGTGACCAGTGACAGAATCCATATGCTCTGTTGCCTGGTGGAGTTTTTGATGAACAGATGAGTCGACCTGAGACCGTAAGAACACCTCCATGGCAAGGATTGACGGGTTTTCTGTGATATGAAGTGCTGACAACACCGCCGTATCGTCAGTTGTTTGATTATCTGCTGCCATTGCACATGATGCCAGTTGTCCTTCTAGAACTATTTTCTCTGCCAAAATGGCTGCGTAAGATGAGACAATGTCTACACCAGTTTCTGATGAGCTGTTTGTTTTCGTGGCATCATCTATTTTACGTTCCAAGTCGAGGATGACCATATTCACATCCTGAATCTCCTTTAACAGTAGATCGCGATACACGTCACCCATCTGGTAGCGCTGTACCAGATAGGCCATCTGTCCCAGTATAATGGCCTCCACAGACAACCTATCAGCATATAAATGAACCTTTTCCTCGAAGTGGAGGCGGCTCCTCCTGATGCCACTTTCACGTCGTGTTATCACAGCTTTTGCCTGCAGATCCTGATGTGTGATCCTCCCCAACATGTCGAAATCCTGATGTTTGAATCTTTGAAGATGACTAAGATACTCTAATAGGTTCATCAATTTTTCATGAACAATCTTTAAAGACTTTGCATCTAGTGCTTCATGTTCTGCCACCATACAATTTACCTCTACTAATTTATCTCGCATCTGTTTCACACAGTTTTGGAATGCAACCATATTCTCAGCAGAGCTGCTCTCTAAGCTGGCGCCGCCTAGTTTAGCAGCCTTGACCTTGTCAATCAGGCGACTGGTCAGAGAATCAACCGCGTCACTGCACTTGTCCAGGGTCTGCCTCAACCCTTCATCCCCCTCTCCTGAAGAATTGTTTTTGAGGAACGTTTTCTCTGTCATTTCTTCTGTGAGATCCTGAATCTTACAGTTGGTAACTTGCAGCTGATTTCTCATTGCACGTAACTTTCCAATAAGACGCTTACTCTCATATCCTCCACTGAGTTCATTAGTATCTTCTTCTTCCTCATCTTCCTCTGACATTTCATCATCAGAGCTGATGAAACTGTCAGATTCCTCATCCTCATCATCCTCTTCTTCCTCATCTTCACCTGACATGCTGATGTCAGGGGTCCGCAGCACCTGGTCTATGTAAGCAATGCGGTCCTCTAGCAGACCTAGCTCGGCTTCTATCTCAGCAGAAAGGACAGCAGAGGCCTCCTCCTGCTTCTTGGGCTTCTGAGGACTAGAGGCCTTACTTGGACCAGCATGTTTCACCATTCCAGTAAGGTCATCTACACGAGTTGCCATTTCCTGTATCTTTTGTTTATACACACTTTCCTGTTTAGCCAGTTTCAACTCCAGTTCTTTACTGTTTTGTGTGTCCTTGGATCGACCTGACATATCCTCCAACTGTTTCCGTAACTTGTTTGATTCAATCACTAAATTATCATACTTGACCTTCATTTGACTGAACTCTTCAGATTGTTGCCCTTGATCTGTTGTTCTTGGTGTACTCAAATCAGAAGAGCCTTCACGTAAAAGGTCTTGTAAATGTGCACAGCGATGTACAATGTCTGCCATTACAGGTCCCATGCCAACCAATTGAGACTGACTTTTTTCTGATTGCTTTGATAAGATATCTGTGTAGTTCTTTTGAAGGATTATCATTGTTTTAGTAACTTCTGACATTTCTGCTTCCACAACAACAAAGTTACCGAGTATGTCTGATATTTTACTCCGATCTTCTTCAGAGTTGGTACTGTCATGTGACATCTTGGATCCTTTGTTATCTAGCTTCTGTTGAAGTGTATCTCTGTTGTCCTCTAAAGTGTGAATTTTACTGAGCAGCTCCTTCTTCTCCTTTTGCCATTTAACAGCAGCATTCTTTTCAGAATCTAGAAGAGATCCGAGTTCACGACTTTCCTTTTTGTACTCCTCCATGGTGCGAGTAAGTGACTTATTTTCTTCCTCACCTTTCTGTTTCTCTGAAACGACTTTTGAATACAACTTTTCCTGATCTCTTAATTTTTTCTCCAGTTTACTTTGGTCCTTCTGCACAGATTCAAGATTATTTTGCAACACCACACTTTCATCTAGTTCTGATTGCAGTTCGTCAGCCATGTCAATGAATTTCTTATCATTTTCTATCATTTTGTCTTCCAACTGGGCGATGATCATGTCTTTTTCCTGTAAAATGGCAGCCATGTTGTTTGGAATAGTATTACTGGCATTGGAATGTTCCTGGGCCTCCATGAATTTCTTTTTCATGTCCTCCAAATGTTGATCCATATCATCCCTTTCCTGAGCGAACTCTTGCTCCAGTGCCACAATATGGTGTTCATATTCACTCTCTACTTTCTTACAGTGCATGTCCTTCTCTTTGACTTCCAACTTTAAAGCTGCCATTTTTCTCTCAATGTCCTCTGTTTTCTCCTTCATCTGCCTATTATCCTGTTCCACAGCCTTTAATTTGAGAATTTCACGCTCGTGTTCACGCATTTTTTGACTATTTGCTTTTACGTCGGATTCTAATCTTTTGCATTCCGTTTCTTTCACATTCAAACTGTCACGTTGTCGCTCCATTTTATGGGTTGTATCTTTTAACTGTCCTTCTAAATTGCGAATCTTTTTATTCCAGTCATTAGACATCTTCATCAGTTTATCTTTCTCATTCTTCAGTTCTTTCAGAGCCTCTGAGAGGGCTCTTTCTGTGCCAGTCAGTTTGGATGTTGACATGTCAAGTTTGGAGCGAAGACTTTCAATTTCCACCTTGTTTTTCTGTATCGTATCTCTGGCTTCTTTCACTTGGCGTCGCATTGTCGTCACCTGCAAGAAAACAACGAAACTGGTTATGAAACATTACAATCTCACAACAATGGATTGAAGACATCACAATATAATTTGTGTCATGTTAAAGGAGACAGTATGGTACAATCTTGTTAATATCTCCTGTTCAAAATAATATGTATTTAGATGTTTAAGATAAGCTCTGGTTAGACATTTCCTGTTTAAGATAAGCTCTGGTTAGACATTACCTTTTTAAGATATTCTCTGGTTAGACATTTCCTATTAAGATAATCTTTGGTTAGACATTTCCTATTAAGATAATCTTTGGTTGGACATTTCCTATTAAGATATTCTCTGGTTAGACATTTCATGTTTTAGATATTATCTTGTGAGATATCCCCTGATATTATTTACAATGAGCTATGCATTATAACTGTTGAAATGTTCCTAAATACATGTTTCTGTCTCGTCCTTCGTCATGCTTCTGTATTACATTGCTGCAATAGCATGCAGAGCTATCACAAGAAATCTGGGCAAAAGAGGTCAGGAAAGTAGAAACTTGTGTGCTGGAAATTAAGAGGAAATATTGTAAACACATCAAATCATTTCCTTGCTTTTTAAGAGAATGTCTTGTCCTGTAATCTACATGGACATTTGTTGAGGTTTTTTTTACACACTTCTTCATAACAAAACCTGAGGGCTATTTGTACCTATTAGATAAGCTAGTCCTATTACAGCATTGTTTATACAAAAAAACGTATATCACAACCTTCATTTTGCTCCCTTTCTGTTCACAAATTAGAGGTTGCTCCTTCAGAAGTTTTGCATTCAAAAATTATTTTAAATCCTCTATCACAATGCAAGATTTATGTTTCAGCTTTTCTACATCAACAATGAATAAAAACATTTTCCCCAATTAATCAATATTCAAATTCATATTTGCAAGAATTACAAATCAACATAAACATGTTAAACTATATGTATGAATAAAATATCTACATTATACGTGTATAAAGTGACAAGCTAAGGAAGCAGAAACATATCAAGTGCAAGACTGCCTATGTAAGAAAGATGCATAAAAAGTACACTCTGGTTTGGTTTGGTTCAGGTTTAAAATCCTTGCAACAATTCATATGAAGACAGGTGCCCAGGAAGACAACACCAGAAAGGAAAAGTGGAGAAGTAAGGAAAGACAGAGATCCTAAGGAGAGAAAAGACACAGATCCTAAGGAGAGAAAAGACAAAGATCTTAAGGAGAGAAAATACACAGATCCTAAGGAGAGAAAAGACCGAGATCCTAAGGAGAGAAAAGACCGAGATCCTAAGGAAAGAAAAGACCGAGATCCTAAGGAGAGAAAAGACAGAGATCCTAAGGAGAGAAAAGACAGAGATCCTCAGGAGAGAAAAGACAGAGATCCTAAGGAGAAAAAAAGACAGAGATCCTAAGGAGAGAAAAGACAGAGATCCTAAGGAGAGAAAAGACAGACATCCTAAGAAGAGAAAAGACCGAGATCCTAAGGAGAGAAAAGACAGAGATCCTAAGGAGAGAAAAGACAGAGATTCTATGTATTGAAATGGTGGCATCAGATTAATTTTTGCTTCCATCATGCCCCCTTAGCAGAAGACATACGAGAAATTCCCCAATTCTGTAAGGGTTCCACATTAGTTTACACTAGTTTAGCATGTAGTAAGATACAG